GAGAGAGAGAGAGAGAGAGAGAGAGAGAGAGAGAGAGAGAGAGAGAGAGAGAGAGAGAGAGCATTGTGCTTGCAGAGATGGAGAAACATGAAGATGTACGGACTTCTGGGAAGCGTGGTGATGTTAAAGGGGATGGGTAATTGAGTCTCCTTTTCCTAATTCACGGTCGTGTGGTTGTTCCATTGTGATACAGGCTGCCTGATGTTATCACTCTGAAACCTGAGCGGCAACTGCTCTTTACCGCCCTCTATCTGCTGATATGGGGTGAAGCTGCCAACTTGAGATTCCTTCCAGAGTGCCTCTGTTACTTATTCCACCATGTGAGTGACTAGGGTTTCTTCCATTTCATCTATTCTTTCTCCCCCCTCCAAGCCCTCTTTTTCTTATTCCCCGCATCCCTCCCCCCTCTCCCCTTCCTCACCCCCTCTCTCTATTGTCCTGACATTGCCCGCCTCCCCTTCTCTTGTCTGTTTCTCAATTTCCACTTGTTTACCTAGTCGTGCAATAGTTTGAGATTGTGTGATTGTTAAGCAGTGGTAGCTAATCCGAGTTACACAGGATGTAATAACTTAGGGTATTCTTAACTATGTATCTGACTAAAACTATGGGCAGGTTGGGTCCAGAAATTCCGGGTGTGAGTGTGCACTTAGGGCCATGGCGTGGGCAGGTTGGGTCCAGAAATTCTGAACAATGTTGATGACCCACATCCGAACTCAAAGGTTGGGTCCAGAAATTCCTGATGATGGCACATCCGAACTCCAACATGGGCAGAATCCGCTGTTTAACAATCACACAATCTTCGGTGCGTTGCTAGTTCGTGAAACTGGGCAGTGCGCTGTTGTGAGGGCGATGATGGCCATAGCTGAAGTAGTAGGGCGATTGTGTTGCCACCTAGCAGTTGTTGTTTTTCTGTTTCTTTTTGGGTAGCACAGCACCGCTGTTACAGGCACTCATAGTAGAGACCTGTGTGGTGGAGAGTGAGCCCTCGAGGAGGAACGACACCTCAATGTTCAGGGAGAGATCCTGTAGGAGACAGGAGGAGACATGGTTGATGTAGCAGAGCTTGCAGCATATGAAGACTGGGTTGAAATGATCTGCATCTCTTATATCAGTGACTGGCAGGGCTGGTGCTGTTGGAGGAGGTTTCGTTGAAGTCTCAAGTTGAATTCAATTTGTACTTGTGTCTGGCCTGCTATCTCAAATTCGCAAGAGTTTGAGCCTGTGGGGCTGACCCACCATAGCTGCATCAGCTATACCTCCGTGTGGTGTGTGCAGTATCCGGCGTCTGTAACTTGAAATTGCATTGAGAAGTGTGCAGTGATCTTGTTGACGAAGGCAAACCTGATTTTTCTGTGTTTGGTGTGATTCTCATATCTGTACGCTCTCATGGACATCGATGATGCATGAGTGCAGGTCTCCTTACAGAGGGACGAATCCTTGATGATGCAAGCAGAGACTCACTTTGTAATCATACACGTTCATGGGCCTCACTCCACTACACACCACTCTACATGCATTTGGACCCTTTCTGGAACCGACACATTCAAAAATTTCGACTCGCCTGGATGCACCTGGTCCACAAAGCATTCGAATGATGTAAAGTGTTATGTAGTGGAGCGAGGCCTTATTTGTGCGGTAGTTGGGATGTGATCGGGTTAGATTCTTGATGGCATTCAGTTCGGCCTGCTTAAATTCTCAATCGACTACTTCTATGATCTATCAAAGTTCTCACGATCGGTCGTAATGCAACGTCGAGACCTACCCTGACCGGAGTATGCCCATCTGTGAGATGTGCCATCTGGTAAGCAGCAAATTTCCTGGCCCCTATCGATGGCTTGCCTGAAAACACGACTGAAAGAAAAAGGAAACTACATCCGGTGGGACTAACTGTTGGTGTGAACAAATAAAGAGTTCGAACCCTGATGCCAAAAAAAAAAACAAACTCCCCTTCTGTAAATGACAGCGGTCGAGCGACTCTTGCTGTTTGACAGGCGCTGAGTGCTGAGTGATTGAATGCTCCTCATGGGACCTTGCTCTGCTACTCACCGGACATGGAAAAGACAGAAAAACTGCAAGTGCAATGGTGAGGTGCTGAGGATGCACTCGCCATTTAACACCTTTGGAGAGTAGTCCAGGGACGTCTGCAAGATCTCAAAGAGAAAAAAGAAAAAAGAAAAAAAAGAAAAAAAAGAAAAAAAAGAAAATGTAATGAACCCAGTCAGGAAGATACTCATCGGACGTCGAAGTTCCCGTAGTCTCAGATCTGTACAATGTCTCCAGTTAATGTGAAAATTGATATCTGAAACAGTATCTCGTTACCAATAGACGAAGGGAGTGGAGGGAGGAATAGACAAGGGAGAAGGTGGAAGAAGTAGATCACACAACAGCAACCCAACCAGTCCCACTTCTTCTCCGGGCTTCCTCTCCCTCCATGCCATCAATCAAATAACAGTAACAAGTCTGATAAGTCCCGATAACTCAGAAGTGCCACGTGGCACTACTCTCCCATGGAGACGATGAAGATAGCCAGCAGCGTGCAACATCAGTGTCAACCTCAGGTAAGTAGCCCGTTCCCAATCATTGATAGATCCCGATCTTCCTCCTTATCGCAACCAGTCACCTCATGTAGACAGCGTGGCCAATGCCACATCAGCAGAAACAGTTGGCATGTGCCACATCATCAATGAAGACAGGTGGCAGCGCCACATTAGCAATGTAGACCAGTGGCCTGCGCCACATCAGCAATGTAGACAAGTGGCCTGCACCACATCAGCCTTGAAGTCAGGTGGCAGCGCCACATCAGCAATGCCTGGCGCACAACACAGAAAGTGCGAGCATGCTGTCACAGCCCGCGTTGCCGTCCACAGTGCCTGCGCACAGCCAGCGTCTCGCCAGCATCGTGCCAGCGTCAATGCCAGCGTCCGGTCAGAGTCAGGCCAGCGTCCAAGCAGCATAGCAAGACTGAATGTTGACCACCTCGAGACCAGTAGTCCATTTGTAATGTTTGATGAGGCTGTCTGGCCTCGGGTCCCCTCCTCACAGTCGTTCAGAGAAACACAGCCGAGGGCCTGGATTGTGTACAGTTGCAGACTTCCCCTTGGACCTGATGCTGTCTGGGTACCTGCATACAAACAAATGTGTGCGTCTGACCGGTGGCCTGGGCTGGGTACACTTTGACTTTGACTGTTGGGGTCTCCGACAGTTGACTTTGGTCAACTGTACCTTGCTCATGCCCTGAACCCTTAACGGGGTCTTTTCCCCCGTTTTGGCCTGGGCCTGGGTGTGGCCTGGCGAGGCCCTCAGTTTTCCGCGAGGCATACAACATGGGCTATCGCAAAAAAAAAAGAGAAAAAGAAAAACAAAGGAAAAAACTGCGGTATGAAGCTTGTGGAGGAGTGGCTTGATACAGGCTGTCCTGTGTGTGGGAGTATCCACTTGTTTGTCTTCTTCGTCTTAGAAGAGATTCCAGATTGTTGCCTGATTGGAGACAAGATCTGGTTGAACTTGCTGGTGGAATAGGAACGGGACTGATGCTCTGGACCAAGTGCATCTGTATGTGTCCAACATTTTGAATGCGCGGGTCCAGAAAACGTCCAAATGCATGTAGAGTGTTGTGTAGTGGAGCGAGGCCCTATCTCTCCAGGTCTGATCCCTTTGAATTGACGATTCCCTGCTAGAAGTCTTTATTGCCGTACCATGCCCCATACGTTTTTGAGATTTCTCAAACATAATTTTTGTGGTTCTGGGAAAAAGGTACTTGTTGTTACTTCTGGTCGTTTGATGGAATGGCTAGCAGACAGATGCAGGACAGAACGTAATCGGCATGGCTGTATGTCTGTGTGAATGCTGGGATTGCCACGGTGATTAGCGATATAGAAAGGTTTGCGTGTGGACGTCAACTTGCTCCACACCATGGGGTGAGGGAGACAGACTCTCAGAGACCGGCTTAAGCTACTGCCGGCATCCAAAATGAATGATGGTGCTTATGTGGGGTCCAAAGAGCTCCATAGAGTGATCTGAGAAGGGTGGAGGTCATATGTGTAATTGGGGTCTGAACGAAAGGGCCATGGACGGATATAAAACAGGAGTAATTTACTCGAAGAATGAATCTGACATCTTGTTGCTCTTTGAATGTTTGGCCTTCCGTCTAATTGCAGATGGCCCTGGAAGCTGTGAAGCTCAGAAAGGATCAGGACCCAACGTTTGTACATGGAGTCTCTGAAGACTTCCGTCCTGTGTCATTTGGCGAAAATGGATTCCTTGTGAAAGTGGTCACTCCTATCTACACCGCTGTGTATAGGGTAAGCAGTACTAAACACCCATAAACTCTGTGATGGGTTTACAGGAGGGAGTAAACTCTGTCCTTAGAGTCACTTGTTCTCTATCGCATGCACTCTCGATATGGGGTCGATGCCATCTTTGACTGCTGGGCGAGTGCTATTGCCTTACCCTACATGCACTGCACTGTCTATATAGTCACTTTGATAATATCAGCTTTGATGTTTTTGTTTTTTATTTTTTCCCTCTTGTTTAGTGCATCTCTCTGTCACTTTTCTCCCGTTGTCATACAATGTTGCACATTCTGTCCCAGTATATGGTTTCTGCAACTTTACAGAACTTTACACGGTGTCTTGTTAGTTGTGGCATTCTTTCTGTCTCGTGGGCAATTCTCTTCTGCACTTATAGTGCATATGAACTGTCTGTTTTTCATTTTCTCATGGAACTTTCTCTCTTGCTGTCTGTAGAAGAAAGTCTGGACTCTCTCTGGATTTTATCCCTACAGCGCCTACTCTATAAAGATCTTAGAAAAAAATGTGGGGGATGTGAGGGATAGTGCCAAGGGCGGGTAGGCGGCAGGAGGGCGGATGCGCCAAGTTCGCCGTACCAGTCGGCAAAGTGAGCTCACCCCTGGCACAGCAGGCACTCAACGCCAGGACGCTCATCCTAGACCACACACACGGGGAAGTATCGATCTAGATCAGGCTGATTAGCGCTTCTCGATTGCCAGCAACTGGGAACCCACCATCAAACTCAGGTCCGACTTGAAACGCTCTGCCGGGAAGCTAACCATGCGCGCCACGGCCACCTGTTGCTGAAAGGGGCGCACGATCGCTCCTCCTAGGAAGGCGGTGTGCGTTAACATCCCTCCCCAACTCTCCCTTACTGAGCCCAATATAAAAATCTCTACTGTGAGAAATCTAGAATCCAGGCAGTCCGCAGCCCGGTCTGCTCTCCTACCGAGCCGACGGTCTGGATTGTCGTGCGAATGTAAGATTTTAAGATCATGCGATGATCCAGGCCATCAGCCCGGTAGTTCTGGGCCAACATCCCAGATAAAAAGTTGCAGTCCAAGCGGGTTTCTGGAGCGGTCTGCCAGCTGCCAGGCCCAAGGAAAATGGATTCCAGTCGGACTTTTCTCACTCAGGTATTTGGTGGCGCAGTTGTGCTTTCTTTGGGATGACACACACCCACCCACTCACACACGCATGTGCACACACACACTCACATGCACATACATGCTCTGTTTGGAATGCAACCTCTTGACGAGTCGGTGAAAGTCCGACCAAAGAGTCTGGCATGGCCAAGCTTTCTTTTGTCGAGTCGTGCATAGTGAACATGACATCACACGCACACTCTTAAATGCATCTTGGGCAGACTGTCGCGGTTCCTCCTCCTGATGAGCTGCTGAAAGTGAACAGTGGCACAGTCATGTGTCCTTTTGTGGAGTTGTGTATAGCGAATGTGACAGCACTGGCATGCACGAATGCACGAGAGCTGTCTCTTATACACATCTAGATGTGTATAAGAGACAGCATGTAAACCCTGCGCGCCAGAGAAAAGAGAAGG